TGTATATAATATATAACACATTTACAACAGTATGAGCATTTTAATTTTTCCAAAATTGAGAAGGTGAAAAGGAGGCTTCAGTGCAATGTAAACAATGGACATAAGCTTCAAATTCCTAAACACAGTAAGCCCAGAAATGTGTACACATTGCAAGTCATTAGTTCAACCCCACCAAACATTTCCTGAGACAATTACCTTCGCTGCTATAAAATTTACTTTGCACAATCCTCTGGAGCGTTACTAATTGCTTTTCTTAACCTCCAGAGATTAAAGGATTTTGAAATGAACATATAGACAAGTAGTGACTCTAATTTCAAATCTAAGCTTTATTAAGGCAAGCTCTGTTTTACGAAATAGGGTCATTAAGAGAATGTTTAATGTTGGAAATACCCAATCCTAATCTCCTCATCTTCCTCCAATCTTGAGAAATTGCACTTTGCCTGTATTTTTTTTAAAATGCAGTGCAACCTCAACTCATTTCCATCTGGCATCAACTCTATGCCTCATCTTCAAGAATACGCATAACCATGTTGGCACTTGTTTCTCAAATCCTTTTCCACTAGGGGGTATGATAGACTGTGACTGTATTTCACAGTAAACCTTTGTATGATATTGTAATACTAAAGTATACACACATGAGGGAGAAGAACAGGCATGCAAAGCTTGGTACATAATTTATGGAGATTTAAATCCTGTCATTCATAAATATAATTATAACCTACAGCTGGAAAGTGATATGGACCTTGCCATATTGATCATGGTATAGCTCTGTTTATTCAGATCATTCATTTGTTGACAGGAAAAATATAATAAGAATGTTGTTATTCAGTAAAACAATTAATGAAAGGAAATACTTCTATTTTACACAAAGAATATTGTTTGTTTCTGTGCATGTTTTGCACCCTCCCACCTTCTGAGGGGAAATATAAACCCAAGGGGAGGGGATATTATTAAATCAGCAATCAACCTTCAAGTCATTTTGGTATAAACACTGTAATTATTTCATCTCTAGTAAACAGAATATAAGACAACGGCACATAAGGGTGACAATTTGCAATATGCTTTGAATGTCTTTGTTAAAAAAAAAAAAACTATTATGGCTGAAGGCAACATTATTGAAATTAAAAAAAAAGCAGAAGTTGTGACAGCCAACAGAGGGGGTAATTAGTCAGTAAATTTCAAGTAGTAAATTTAGCAGGTCATTGCAACAGACATTACATTTTGCGTGGGGAGAAGTCACCGTTTATTAACCTTAAAGCCAGACCTGCTTACCTTTATTAAAAAAAAAAATCATAAGAAAATATTAGAAAGAAATTATAAGTGCGATTATAATAGTATAGTCTGGATGCCTTCTAAAACTCACAGCCTTCTCTTATTTAGGTGGGTGTATGTTCACTTATGTCAGAACTGAGTCAGCCACAAATGTACAGAGGTTAATTGTAGTAGCACACAGCTTGGGAGGAAGAAAGACAAAAAATATTGTCTTTCTAGATAAAAAGTGCTCTTACCTAGCATTTTTAATCTTGGGTGCAGCAGATGCATGTCTGTCTTAGATGTAGATGATGTTTCAGCCTGGACATTGTGGTTTACATTTCTGATTGCTTTCGCCTACACAGCTGGCTGAGTGCTGGTGCGATGTAACCTGCCAGCCAGGAGGGATGCCTCTGCTAACCGGCAGCACCCTCCCTCATCTCTGTGAATGGTTTGTTTGCAATTCATCAGGTCATAAACAATCATGTGCACTTCAGTGAGCCTCCATATTTAGAGTGATGTAAAGACAATTGCTGTTAATATTAGCTAGGCTTCAGAGGGTTTGACAGCCGCACGAAAAAGCAGTCTCTTCTATCTAATTTAAAGTTCCTGGTTAGGGAGTGTCAGGGGTGCATTTTATACATCTTAGAACCTTTTCTCAGGCCGGTTGCCCTCATGCTAAAAAGTCTTAAAAATATTTTGCACTCAAATAATTACTGGTTTTGTTTAAATGTTCTCGTCCAACACATAATGAACAGCGAGGAATTCCCCAAAGGGCATCTATTGTTATTGAAATGTTTATTTATTGAGTGCTTTTGCCAGAAGCCCCCCATGAGAAAAATCTCATTTTATGAGCTCCTGAAGCAGTCAGTTCCCAAAACGTTGAGCAGAAATGCAATTTTGACCAAGTAATCTCAAGGTCTTTTGTTTGCTTTTAAATAAACAACAGAATGCCAATGTGCAAAAAGTTGTGACAAGGGCTGCTTTATTTTCTGTATTTTGTAAATATCCATACTGAAGCTGTGCTTACATGCTGCTCGGGTGATGCCTTACGTTCAAGCATTCAGTTGCTACAGTAGAGAAAAACAATATCCCACATAGCAATATGTGAGCGGCTATTGTAAATGATTCTGAGATTTCTTCTTTCCTGCAAAAGAATGGTGTTAACCCAATATCATCCCACTTGCGCAAGAAATTTTCTTCCCACCCTGTTTTTTTGCTCTTTATTTCTCTACATATTCTTGGCAGCGGTGAGGAGAAGTGACAGTGCTTGAGGCAACGCGTACATGGGCATGACTCGGATCCTGTCGTGTTCCTGGATTATCCAGGTGGAGTCACTAGAGAATAGTGTGATGGTTCCTGCCAGCTTTCACTCCCCTGAAATCTCTGCCTTTCACTGCCTGGGCTCGATCACTGAAATGATCCAGTTTCTAGCTATGTGATTTTAATGATTCCATTAAGTGCATAGCTGCAGTGAGTAGGGTAGGGGGACAACTGAAGGGGGAGTGAGCTCTGGGCCAGAGACAGAAGCAAAAAAACTCAGGCAAGGGAAGGAGGGGAGGAAGCTTTCTGTCTTTGCTGATAAAGCTGAAGTGTAACTACTCTGCGCTTGAAAGTTTGCCTTGGTTCCAGGTTCTTGGCTGTAATGGAATATGCAGTGTAGATTTGGGGCAAATATTTAAAGTTGTTTTTTTCACCCTGTCCTGGTCATGGGACAGCTGTGTACTGGGTTGGTGCCTGCTTTTATTTAAAGCAGACTGCTAATTACGCTGTAAATGTCTGAGCAGCAAGAGACGAATCATCATTTCTCTTAGACTGGCAATGCAGGAAGGACAGTGCAAGATTAGTTATATTCAGTGTATGGTATTATGAAACTCCCAGGTGCCTTTTATGGTTGATTATCTCAGCGTTAGTGACAGAATTGGGGAATGGCCTGAATTTTTGTAAAGCAGTTATCTCAAATAAAACATACTTTGGAATTGTTGAGTATTATAACCTAAAATATTGTTTAAATTATGCTGATAAATGCTTTATAATTACCTAACATTATTAAAATATATTTCTTGTACGTTAATGAGTTGGCATCTGGAGTGTCCTTTAGCAACAAAATCTCTCTGTTTTCTTTTTCTCCACTCCCCCCCCCCCCAAAGAGTATTTAGAGAAAAATGATTGATTAATGACAGTTCCTGTTAACTCCAAAATAAAATGTGCACATGCCTGCTTTGCTAGTAAAAGATTGAAAGGAAGCTTCTTAGTCTTACTCTGATTCCCTTTATGACCTCGAAGCAAAGTCTTAGCATTAGTAATATTTTTTTTCCTGAAATGGAAAAAGTTTAAAGGTATTTCTGTCTAGGATATATGTGATACAATTAAGCACACTTCATTAAGTGCTCTCCGTTGTATGAATGTAAAATATTGACAAGTTAGTAGAAGAATAATTTAATACTTCATTTCAAGCCCTGCAACAACAATATTTTTCAAGTTATTTCTTTTATGCAGCAATTTTTCAGACTTCATTCTCTCATAAGCCATAGGTATAGGAGGTCAAAGCACATTACATGTACAGTTCCAACCAATGTACATCCCCTTTTAAGCAGGGTTGTTATTCATAGTTTAAATATAATTCTTTTCACTGATTATATGAATAATAAAAGCTTAGGAAGTCACACAATACATAGCATGTAAGTAAACTTTTATAATAGTGCCAATTTTTGTCTTTGTTGAGCCCTCGTGCTCTTCTCCCCTGTAAATTATTACGTTATAGTTTCTACAGTCTTTTGTTACCTGGAAATTTCCTTCAAAAATACATTTACTATATTTGTATGTGTGTGTATTTTTCTTATGTTTTTCATATATATATATATGTACTTTAGTATAGTTTTAAGGATATCAGAACTGAAATTTCTTTATTCCTTTCATCAGATGTGGATGTTATTTGTGGATGTTAATTGGATATTATTGGAATGGGTGGACAATGAATGCAACATTACATATATGGATTTATTTTTCTTTAAAAATGCACAATGAAAATTTTTTGTGAAACCCTGAATACTTTATTCTGCCATTCTTCATCTGGCTAATCAGTACCTTCTTCTATAAATGTCTTATAGATTTTAATGCCATAAAGGACCATCAGGCTACACCCAAAAAGGTCACCACAGAGTTAAATCATTTCCCCTCATAAGTTATTCAAAGAGGTGATTGCCTCTGCTGTTAAAAGATAAATACTTTGTGGTATCGTTCTGGTCAAAATCAGCCATTGGATCAGATACGTCCAAAATCTTTTTGCCACACGTGTTCTTGCAGAACATGATCAAGATTCTGAGTTTCTTTATTGTCCCTCTGACTTGCAGTCATGATAACAGGACTAAGCTTGTATTGATGTTAGGCACATAAAACTTTAAACTATATGTAATCTTCCTTGGATGCTGAATTCCAGTGATGATCTATGCTGTACTTGGGTGAATAACAATTTCAGTGCCTCCATTTTGCCATCTTCATAATAAGAATAGTATTTACAGGAGTGTTCTGAAGTTTAGTTAATGTCATTGAAATTCTTTCAGACAGGCACAAGATACACACAAGAAACCACAAGAGGTATAAAAATGTATGCAAATGTAGCTAATGAAGCAAAAGGAAGAAGGCTAAATGGTGTCTTAATAGGTTCTCTTTAAAAACCTATTTTGATAAGGAATATTACGCCATGTCTCTTGATTATGAATCTTACATTTTTTAATAATCTCTTCCAGCGTGCTGGGACCAGCTGTGACCTTCAGAGTGCACTCAAACCTCCAAAACATTTCAACTGCAGATGTTGCCAAAGCAGCAGGTAAGTCCTTGTCCTCCATTCCCAAACTGTGACCACCCACGCGTCCGTTTAGCAGGCTGTAGCCCTACAAACAGCACAGAGACATCCCGTTCTCCCAGAAGATAGACATTTAAAGAGGGAGACAGTCGAGAGGTGAGTGGCACATATGGGAAACTGAAGTGTAACATCTCTGAGTCAATTAAAACTGCCTGAGACTTCCTTGTTTGTCAAGGAAATGGATTAAATGGAGACTTGTAGTCAAGGCCTAGCATGGTGAAAAACTCTTCAGTGTTGTCATGAACTCATAAAACCAGATTGGTTTTTTGTAAATAAGGATGCAATACCTTTGCTTTTCCAATACTTTTTTTCAGGTAACAAGTGTTGTTACATCTTAGCCTTAATTTCTTTATCAAAAGATGGTAGAAGTATACTTTTGTTGGTGTGCTGTTTACACAATTTCAATGACAAGTTAATCTTGGGACTAAATGTTGTATTTCTGGAGCTAAACTGCTTCTGAATAAGTACCATTGTTCTAAGGACTCCTGTTGGCTTCTTGTCAACTTGGTTACTAGCTGTATTATGGAGTTGTTGACTGCAAGAAATAATTTCTGCAAAATAACTGAATTGATAACTGATTTGCTTCTGAATTACTCAACTGATAGGTTTTAAAAATTCTGAGTAAACAAGTTACAAGGTTGCTTGAAAATAGAAACAAAAAATGTTCATTTAAATAAACACTGGGAGCCCCAAACTGTCCATTAACTTCTCCTTTGCTTCACCATGGATGACTTCAGTCACAGAAAGAACTGGGTTAGTTCTCCTGCCAGAATTTTCCTTTGCAGGACCCACTAGAAGAAGGGTCTCGTTGACTGGTGATTAGAGAGTAGCAAATGGGATACCATTTTTCTTAAAAGGGTTTAACATGCTGTAGATGTGTACTTTCAAAACTAGGAAATTACAATAAAGTAATTACTGAATTATGGGACACCTGAATGTGTATGATTTACCTGGGAAAATTAATATGGCTTTTTTATAGCAATGGCCTGCCATGTAAACTTGTTGAAACTCTCTGAAGGGATCAACAAATATGATGCAGCTGGTAGAGCCTGCCTGGATTGCCAAAGACTTTTGACAAGGTCTTTCACTAGAAGTTTCTAAGGAAACTAATCGTATCTTAGAACGTGGACTATGGAACATGAAAATGGTGGATCAGTAATTGGTTAAGAGGCAAGAAACAGAGATTAGAAATAAATAATTAGTTTCTAAAAGGCTGGACATAGCAGAAACGTGGAAGGATCTCTGCTGCGACTGTGGCATTCAACATACTTATAAATGAGTTGGAAAAGATGGTGAGCAGTGTGATGAGAAATCCTACTAATACTACGAAATTGTTCACAGTATTAAAGGTGAAAGTTGAAGAAATGTATAAAAATTTCACAAGACTGACTGGACTCAAAATGGCAGATGAAATTATTTTTAAATTAGTGTAAAAAAATGCATATGGAGAATAAAATAGCTTTACATATGAAATTGTAGGTCTACATAGATTATTACTACTCTGGAGTAAGAACTTAGTGCAGTAATAGCTGATTTAATGAAAATAACAGTAAAATGACAATTCAGTCTCCATTATCAGTTGAACAAGGAAAGTGTTTTTAAGAATTATTTGGAAAGGAATGAAAACAGAACAATATCATTTGTTCTTGCATAAAGCTATCCCTTGCCTATATTTAAATGCGACATACAGTTCCGCTCCTCATACCTCAGAGAGGTTGGAAACTGATTGAAATGGAAAGATTCAGAGAAAGGAAGAAGGCATGAGTGTAAGTATGGAATAACTTCCATATAATAAATGGTGAAATAAGGCAGGAATCTTTATTTTGGAGATTTGGTATGAGAAAGGTCTGTCAAGTGCAGAGTGGCCCAGTGTATGTGGACAGGATTGTGCAGTGGCTCTTACGATGCAAGAACAGATGAAACTGGCAGAAGGCAGGTTCAAAATACATCAGAATGCAGTTTGTAGCTTTGCCTGTTGTGGATAATGAAGCTTACATGTGTTCAAAAATTTACGTGTAAACAAGTTCATGGAATAGACATCCATGGAAATTTAGCAAGTCCATAGAAACCTGGTCAAGTTCAGGAGGTTCCTGATGTGCCTTGGCCTGTTCCTAGCAAGCTACGCTGAAATGTATAAATGTTGTGACTAGTTTATTTCAGCAAAACTCCAGAAGTAACATTAGTTTTTTTCTTACCACTGGGACCAAAGTATTGTTTTCAACCCTTAAATTAAATATTGCTGACAAAGTAGGGAGGTTCTGGGGACAAAAAAATGTCACCCCGGGGGAAGTTGTAGAGATTCACCAATTTAAATTAATCTTTCATAGTGTCATTTTATCAACTCTATATATTCATATTCCAGGCATTCCTAACAAACTTTCTGTTTGTTTAGTACATTAAAATTTTCAGGTTTTGATGGCTGCAGAAAGAGATTTGTAGGAGTCTTACATCAGCTTCTCTCGGTATGTCAGCATGGCCATAGTATTGTTATAACTAAACCTTGTGTTTGCCCTTTACAAAAAACGGCTCACAATTCTATCCAGATGTCAAACATTTTAAACTAAAAAACTATCTCATTTTTGTTTTCTAATCCATAAATAAGGTTGCAGTAGCTTGTCAATGTACTGGCTAAGCAGTTAATTTATTTTAAGCAAACTTCTTACTTGCAGATCTGTAAAGCTAAAAATAAATTCAGTTAAAAGATCAACAGCAGTATATACTTACATAAGAAGTTTTTTCAGGCTTTAGTTGTAATTAGAAATTTTAAAAGTCAACAGTGTCTTGAACAAAAGCATTCCAAAATCTTAATTTACCAAAGAAAACCAAAGCAGAATAAATCAATGCATACTTCCAGGGTAGGCACGGTAGATGCATTACTCCATGCTCTACTGCTATTGGGTAATTTGACATCCATCCAGGAACTCTGAAAGCAGATCTTGTTTACAGAAAATGAATAGACCAAACTGACAGAAGAATTTCACGTCCATTGCATCCTTAGAAATGAAAAGAATTTAGAAATTCAGGTAATCAGATGCCATAGTAATTATGGGAATGTAAATTATCCAGATTTGCAAAAAGGAATCTATTTGTGCAAATGTTATGTACATGCGTGTCTCACTGATATCCACAGGAACAGTTTCTGTGCAGCAGTTTGATCTTATTATTCATGTAGTATATATTTTGTAACCAAAATGAATAAACTGCATATTTTCTTTGCGTGGTTTAGCTTTAAATATAGGGAACTATATTTAAAGTTTTCCATCCTACCCTGTGGAGTTTGACAAATGTGCAGGTTTGAGAAGGCATGGGATTCTTCAACTATGCAAACAGATGAATGATTTAGAATACCTACCAAAAAAAATAGAGATATGGTAGTATGATAATAAAAATGGTTTCCTATGTTTTCTTAAGTTTGAGATCCGTTCTTCTTGGCGTACACGAGACCTGGCTTGAAGAGAGATAAAGCTCTCTCAAATCCTTCAGCCACATTCTTGCTGATAAAACTTTTTCCAGTAATCCACAGCTGCAATTCTGTGTAAATGTTTTGATTACTTTTTTTACAGTTTCTAGGGCTACATAATTATATGGGAAAGCTGACAACAGAGTAATTTAAAATTGTGAATAGCTTGCTTTCTCATATTAACAATACCTTTATTTGCTCTTTGACTACAGAGCAGAAGGACAGCCAATGTTTTGCCAGTGTCGCATACTTTGACGTCCATAATATAGAACATATCTTGCATCAACTAGCTGTCCTCTGGACTCTTTCTGTTTAATAAGTCAGGCTCAACAGTGCAGTGTAATTTCATCTCAACATTTTGAAGAAATAAACTTTTTCTAGACATAGATGACCTGCTCTAGAAGTAATTACACTTGGCACATGACTTCATTTAGACAAATGAATGTGGATTTCTTTTCTCTTCAGTTTAAAGGTTAGGAGAAATCTAGCAGAGAACAATTATCAGTAAGATAACTCTATTTATATAAAATTGCAATATAATCAGTATAGTAATGAGCAATGAGTTTGCTTTATAGGTACTCCAGAATCCCACCTTTCATGCAAAGACATGTATACTGACAGTGACAATTAGAAAAGAGGAATCTTCTGAAGTTTCCAGGCATAGAATTTTAGCATCAGATGTAACGATCATATATATAATGCACACATGAAAAAAAGATGTAGGAGAGAAGTTTTGTGCATAGACACTCTGCATTGCTGAAATGAAATAAAAGCATTTGCTTATGTGTACCTGCGGCCTTTTACTAGTTAGAATTGTGCCTGCAATTTTGGGGGTATTGTATTAAAATGCAGCATTTTAGGTGTTCTAAAAAAGGGAGACTGAAGAGCAAAGGGATGTGCATAGTGTAGGCGTATTAGTGATAGGGGACAGATAGCACAGCAAAAGGCAATGCATAATCAGATATTGGAGAATTATATAGGTCTTGTGTGCAGGTTCTGTGTGTAAGGTATATTGTGATATACAATATTATGGAAAGTCAATCTTGATTTAATTTTTTTAAATATATATTTAGAATATCAATAACATCTTTTAATTTTTTTTTTAATTCCCCTAACTTTTAACTAAGCTATTGATTTGGTTTTGTTTTGGTTTTGGTTTGGGGGTTTTGTTTGTTGGGGTTTTTTTTTTTACTTTTCTGTTGCCCTGCTGGTGAAACCAAAATTTTCACAACATGCATGGTTGGATAGGGACAATTAATCGTGACTTCAAGAGTAGGGTATTGAATCATATAACTTTCTTGTCTAAAAATTATTTCTCTGCCAGCTTTCTAAGTCTTCAAAAAATGCATTACAAAATTAATTCCACTGAAAAAAACCCACAAATGCAAAAATACTGTATTATCATTAAAATTTAACTGTATAACATGCTAATTTGAATAAAGATACTGCCTCAAACACATTGGAATAGATAAAAAAAATACATATAGAATTGCTTAGCAGTTTT